CCCCGAGCCTACCTGTTCCTGCTGCCTTTCCTGCAGTACCAGTGGGAGAGGAGATGGTCGGGGGGGGGAGGGGGGAAGGACGACAAATTTAAAGACAGTGCTTCAATAATTAGATTCCATACCTGGAAAATGATTACAAATATATACATTTTCCATATATAGAATCTAATTATTGGGAGACCTTCTTAAATTCAGGGTCATATTAGATTAAAAAAATATGTATTTGAGATTTAGTTTTACTATCAAAATTACCATATTTACTTGAATTCAAAATAAGGAGTCTCTCTCTGTCCCCTGCCCCCCTCCCCCAATCCCCCTGTCCTCTCATGCAATATGGTGGGGAAAAAGTCCTGTCTTAGATTCCACAGCCAGCCAGGGGTAGGGAGCTGCTGCTGTTCCTCTGGCTCTGATCAGAGCTGAGAGCTACCACCTGCGCCTGTAGTCTTTGATTTGGGTAATTATGGTAACTAAAAGATGTGAAAAGACTGCACCTATTTTTACAATTTACTTTCTGCATCTGACAGCATCACATGTATATCAAACTTCCCTTGTTTGTGTCTCCAGACAGAAAAGAAAGGAGAATCACTATTTTGTTGTGAGAATTGTCAGTTTTCCAAATTAGCAAGGTTCTATCATCAATTGTTCTGTTAGACTGACTACTAATACTAATAAATGCTAATGTCTGTGTTATCAATTTATCTTTTTACAAACTTCTTACAAATAACATCTATTTAGGATGCTGTGAACCCGGAATGCTTGATGTTTCACGTTTCTAATTAACCTTATGCATACATAATACTGTATGTATTTTCAGAAGAAAAAAAAATGGTCATGCACACTGAATCTGAAAGCCTCCTCAAAAATTTTCAGAAGTCAACTAAATCCAAACATATTCCATTATTTAAATTGAAATCTTTATTGTTTTATAAAATAAAATTAACATTTTAATCGCACTCCATTTATTACAATTCTCAGCATTAGAGATTCTCTAATCTTCGTGAATATATGTTTTAACATAAATACTGTAAATTATCATTTAACATTTTTACTTATCCAGAACCTATTAACACATTTTTTTTTTAATTTTTTTTTTTTACCAACAGAATACTTTTTTTCCTTTAGTTCAGAGTAATAGAAATAAAGCTGAAACAAAAAACAATTTAAGGCCAAAGCCTGCTTTCATTTTTACAGGTTCAATTTGGGAATTATGCCCATGCAAATTAGTGAAGAATTTGCCTCCAAAAAAGGAACATTAGATTGAGATTTCTGGAGTACTAGTATTTGTTCATGTCTGCCTCCAAAACCTTTATTTTCTGGTTTCAGTTCTCTTAAGATGGTAAAAGGAGAAAACCCCTTAGGGAAATGAAGAAATTCATACGTGCATGTATCTGTCTGTTTCAGGATGATCCTGAACAAACAAACAGGTTTTGTATTATCTATTGTATGACTAAGCAAAACTGAGGTTAAATAAGACACCGTAAATATCTTAAAGCTTGTGTGCTAGGCATTATTTTGAAGTAAAAAGAAATGTTTTACATATACAAATCTTTTAATGAAATTATACTGTCCTGAAGATGAATATCTACTTAAGAGTTTGTGAATGGTGGGGTTGACTTGAACAATTCTTGCTGTTTATGCTACAACTCTTAAAATGTTTTAATGGTCTTACCAAATGTCACCTCTCCATTGCCACTCTTGTCAAATAACTGAAAAGCAACAATGAACATTGCATCTGGAGTACACAAAACTGACTCAAATGCCAAAAATTCTTGATAGGAGATCAACCTATAAAGAAAATACAGAAGTTACAGTAGTTCCTAGAAGAATTTAAGATCCAGGATTAGGAAATAAACTGACGTCCTGGATTCTGTAGGTATGAGAAGTGCCATGTGACCCTGCAGAAGTCACTTATCCTCTATGTGACACTGATTCTTTATCTGTATGAGAACTGCATTTACCTACCCTTCATATGGATAAAAGCAAAATACAATTCAATGCAAACCTACTGTCTAATACCTGATAATTATTTTTCAAGTGCTGTTCTTGTTGAATTTGTAAGGTGTGAAGTAACAAAGAATTGCTGTTGACATGAAATTTGGAGGTTTGCCACTGCCACATAGCTCTCATATACAGTGCGTGTAGTGCAAAAATAAAGACCCTTTTAATAAGATAACTACACACATTTCTAGAACACAAATCACTGCAAGACTAGAACAGTGGATTTTTGAGGACCAATTTACAGATAAAATAAATTTGCCTGGAAAAGGCAGAATATAAAATGCACCTTGAAATTCTTTCAAGATAGAATTTTACACAGCTATTCTTCAAATTATACATTCAAAACATGTATATGTACAGCAATTTTCAATGTATGCATTTTAAATTATCACATATCTAGAAAATTGCTGCAGCTTTATATGCAGGGCCATACACTTTTGGGGGGGGCTAATTACAATAACTTTTGCTATAAAAAAAATCTGGGAATTTATCAGCTGGAAACATCTAAGGAAGAGACAGACCTTGGTATACTAGTTGATAAAAGGATGACCATGAGCCACCAATGCGATAAAACTGCAAAAAACGAAAATGTGATTCTAGAATGCAGCAGAACAACTATTTCCAGTAGGGAGGTACATGATACAGGGCACTGGCAAGATTATCCATGTTCATGACTAAGTCAGACTGAAGCAAGTGCAGATAAGGGCGATGAGGATGAGAATGGAGAGCTTATCATAAAAGGAGACTAAAAGAGTTTGGCCTCTTTTGCCTAGCAGAATGAAGGTAAATTTGACTACTGTTTACAAAATGTGTTGAGAGAGAAAACGTTAAGCAGAGTAAAGGAACCAACCAACCCTAGGTATATCGCTTCAGCCAAAAAAGAGGTCCTAAAATCCTGTAAATTCCTATAGCTAACCACACCAAACAAACATAGGATACTGATGACTAATCAAGTATAGAAATGCTGCCCATCCAATTCTTCCAGCCTGGGCACAACCTAGTTTGCAGAAGAGGAGGGAGACTAGAAACAGTAGAGGGGACAGAAACTATTTAAATTAAAAAACAATGTTGGCACATAAAGGCGTAACAAGTCAGCTGGGCGGTCTGGGCAGCTGCCATGCACAGATGTAGCAGTAACTTCCAGCTGCTGCCATACTGCTGGCATGATCAGACAACTGCAACAGCAGCTGCTATTTTTCTGCTCCCCTGCCTGCCAAGGCAGCACTTGGAGCTGCTGCTCCAGTTGCCCTGCCTTAGTTACACTACTCTTGCCACATGAATTAATGGTATAAACTGGCCAGGAATAAACTGAGGCTGGAAATTAGAAAAAAGTTTCTGACAATTAGAATAATCTAGTTCCAGAATGTCCTTCCAGTCAGACTTGTGGATGCAAAAAAAAAAAAAAAAAAATCTAACTTCTTTTAAGAAGAAGTTTGATAAATTCACAAAAGAAATCTGACACTGTCTGCAACAGCAGAGGACTAGACTCAATGATCCAGGAGGCCCTTTCCAGTCCTGTGTGTCTACGACAATTTTATCAAATATTATAATTATTTGTATATCTATTTTATATTTATATCAGTAATAAGTTTTTATTTCATTTTAAATCTCTAAAATTAGTTTAAGATACATAAAAATTATTTCAGTGCAATAGATGCAATTAACATGCATAACATATCTGCAGACTGTCAACGTAAGTATTCTCTTGATGCAGAAGGGTGTATCTAGTGCATAGTGTGTAGCTGTTATTTTGCACAGAGGCTGTCATTTCTGAAGACCTCTGTAGGACAAATGTATAATTTAGAACACAGTTTAACTGATTAGGCCCTAGTAGCCATTAGTTCATCTAGTCTTGCTCAAACATGCTCAAATGAGAATAAAAGATGTTTAACGAGATCACAATTTCCATTTTCTCACTGAAGTAGAATCTCCATATGTTATGCACCACTGAATACAATGGAAAAAAATCACAACATCAACACTTTCATCACAGACTATCATTTTAACTATTTACAAAAATTGTGGTGATTTTGGAATAATAAGGTCCTTAGTTCCGTTGATCAGTTTTTAACCTAAAAATCAAAATAAAAAATCAAATGGGTGCAACAACTATGCAGATTCCAATGCAGATAGTTATACCCAAAAGGAAGATTATTGTCCATCTCTATAAAATAAGGAGTTTATTACTGGTAAAATGGGTAGACTATTCTTTGAAGAAAAAAACCTTTAGGCAGCTATGTGGACCAGATCTTATTGCACCTATTGGCTAGGGACAGACATTCAAAAAGCCTGAGCCTGAATTGATTCAATCTTTGCAGGTTAGTCTAACCTGGCTAGGCTCAACTGGTTTGTAACCATATAGATATCCCCTCTGGACTGAGGAAACGCAGGCACATGCCTGCAGTGGCTCAGGCTAGAAACCAGGGCGTACTGGAGCAGCCCTCCCTTCCCTTCCACAATGCTGAGCTG